GCCTAGCTGAAGGGGCCCACACGGGGTGCTCGCTGCCATGTAGGGAAGGGGAGGTGGGGGCTAATCCACTTGTGAGACTCCCACCTGCCTCTGAAGCTGCTCCCAGGCTTCACACCTCTGTTCCAGAAGCCTAGAAAGGAGACCCACCCTGGGGAGCGGGTGGGCGCCTGCTTGGCACTCCCAGGCCTTGCTGAAACGGGAGCTGAGGCCACCCTTCGTTCCTCTGGAGAAGGTGGGTTAGGGCCCCACTTAGCCTCACAGCTGCCTGGAAAGTTGAGTGGCAGAAACCCACCTGCCCTCCTTTACCTCAGTTTCCTCCTCCTGGGCGGGAGGGGGAGGGCAGTGAGAGCACAGGTGGTCTCCTTCCCAGAGGGCACCTGACTGCCCACCTAGGGTGTCGTCCTCCAGGCCTGCTGTGAGGGCCCACCCCGCCACCTGCCCTCCAGCTGAGCCTGGGAAGGGGCTCCTCCAGTCTAGCCTTGGGCACCCCTCCTGCTGGGTCGCCAGACCACCTCAATGTCAGCCTTGTCAAGGTTGCTGGAGGTGAAAGAGTTAAACAGTGTGTGGTGCTTCCTCCCCAGACTCCTCCTCCTAGATGTATATTTAGCCGGCAGGGCAAGGGCAGGGAGAGGATGCCAGGATTGCCTGGCACCACAGAATGGTTTGGCACACCACTCCTCAGAGGGCAGAGGCTGCAGGGCCGTGGCTGGGGCAGGGAGGGTGCAGGGAAGAGGCTCTAGTGGAGGGAAGTGGGCAGGGATGTGTGAGTGGCTTTAAGTGGAAGTCTGTGGTCTCACAAAGGACTTTGAGGCTCCTGGGGAGGGCACTACCCCTCTTCTGTGGAAGAAGGGCCTAGTGATGCCATCTCCCGGAGATGTGGAGGGACTGCAGAAGACGGCTGGGGTGAAGGGCAATGGGCAGGGCTCACCGGAAGAGCTCCTCTACCACCTGCTGACATGGCCACCCTGGAGCCCCAGTGCCTGGCCAGGGGGCGTGGGAGCTGAGTGTCTGCTGTAGGCTGTCTCTTCCGGTCCTGGTGCCCACCCAGCTGGTGGGAGGTGGCAGGAGGTGACACGGCTGGCGAGCATGGACCTGGGAGCTGCGTCTCCCCTTGGGGCAGCAGACATCACCATCAGACATCCCCTGGAGGGTGCTAGGGCAGAAGGGTTTTCCTAAGTTCTCCATAGCTAGTGCTTCCAAGGGCCCTGCCCCTCCAGGAGAGCGATGTGGGGTTGGTGCGTGCTAGGGGGGCTGAAGTCTGAGTGTTCTGACTTTATGAAGGTGGAAATCTGAGAACAAGCATGATATAGATCCAGTTCTGCCAAATCTCCAGACCTCTGGGACATCCAGGTCATAGGGATGATGTCTTATTTGCTTGTGAGTTTGTTTTTTATGAGAATATCTGCACCCTGCCCCGGGACTCATAGATAATTCTGCAAATCTTGGCCTTTCTGCCCTGGGGATTGTCACCAAGGGCCAGGACAACAAGCTTGACCCCAGCTGCTTGACCTTTCCCAGGGTCCCTCCCTTCTTCCCCAGGTGAATGCACAGCTCAGTCATGTCCATGAGAGCCTGTCACTTGTCCTAGAACTTGGTTCCCTGAGGCACGGATTCCCACGGAGGCCTGGGGTACTGGCCCCTCCAGGTGGGGACTCCCCCAGACAGCAGAGAGAGGGGAGCTCTCAGTTTGCCAGAGTGAGTGGCACTCCCAGAAAATATCCTGGGCCACCAAGACATGCCAGTCATCACTGGTTTTAGTCTGTTTGGATTCCCCTGACCAGGGGGTACCACCCTTCTAGAACTTGTTGTGTCATGAACACTTGTAGGATCTACTAACCCAAACCCCTTCCCCAGAGTGCCTCTCTACTACAAGGACACTCTCTGACCTGATATTATTTCTGGGGGAAGACTTACAAAATAGGGAGCTGAACACATGGTAAGCTGCTCTGCAATTTGAGCAGACAACGCAAGGGGCACAGTGGGAGCCAGTGGAATGGACCCTGGGCTGGCCCCAGTGACACCTGGATCGCAGGCCCTTCTTTGACTCCGAACACAGTGTGTGACCCTAGGAAAGTTACTTCTAACCCCAGGGTCTCAGTCCTCTTGTCTGTAAAATGTGGAGGTTGGACGAGATGGGTCTTGGGGTCATGTCCATTGCCAGACCCCTTAGTCCTTGCTGAGCCACCTAACCCTTAGTTCAGAGGAGAAGAGATGGTCTAAACAGAAGGGATAGCTCGGGTGGGTGCAGAGAGCCACCCACCGCTGCGGTCTCTGGCAGCCTGGCCACCCCCAACTCACCTCTTTCTTGCTCACTTTGCCACAGCTGACATTCTAGTGCCAAGGGTACTGGAGCCTATCTTTACAGGGCTCAGGCAGCCGCATGTGAGGAGCACAGGCCTGCAGGAGGCTGCTCCAAACAGCCCTCATGAGAGCCCGGGTCAGCACCCTGGAGCAGGTCCAGAGGGAGGAGGTCAAAGGCTTGGGCTGTCTGCCCTCTCTGATGGCCTCCTGCGGTCCTAACTGTGAGCCTTCCTCCCTCAAATCTTCCCACCTTACATTTCTAGAGTTCTGGCTCTCAACCTACTGCCACATTCCCTAACTCGTGACCCCCATATGGCAATAAACAAAGGCCACCCAAATGAGAGCAAGCAAAGGCTGTTGACTCAGATCTTGCTATATAAGGAGTCAGCCACCATCACCTACATGTGACAATGACTCGGGGGGACAGGAAATCTTACAGTGGAACAGAGGGAAGGCCTCAGATATGCCCAAACAGTGGCAGGAGGAAGCTGGAGGAGGGCCATCCAGAAGGGCGGAATCCTATGGGTTTCGTTACATGTATATTTGGTTTTCTGCAGTTGGTCCTAAGCTGGAAGCCAGGACCAGAATTAGGGAAGCTGTGGGTCATTCATCAAGGCTTGGCCATTTGGGGGCTGATTATTACAGGGGTTATTGCTTGGCTTCCTGGACCAGTTGTTAAGAGACAGTGGTCTGACTGCTTCCAAGTCTGACTTCCGTATAGCCAGCAGGCCAGCTTCCGGGGCCAGTTCCTGAACATCTGGGATTGGTTTTCTGAGCTGGTTGCTGCTGACTGTGAGTCAGACTTCTATTTTTACAGGTGTTCTGGCCATTGTCTCCCTGCAGACTCAGTCTCACTGACAACCTGTGAACATCATCCCAGTTTGTCCAGCAAGCACACGAGGGATCAGGTGGGTCAGCTGCCCCAGCTCGGTCAGAGCCAGTGCGGCTCAGAACTTGGACAGGAACCCACTGGTTTTGTGCGTGAAACTTGTCTTTTCAGGTTCCTGCCCCCTGGCCTCCAGTTCCTATATCACTACTTTGAGCCTGCTCCTGTGGGGACCCAGGGGAGGCTGCCCCAAGATGGGTCACTGTGACACGTAGATTATTTGGAGCTGAAAACCATGGAGGCCCCAAAGACTCAGGAAGATGCTTTGACCTCTGCCCCACCCTACACCTCCCAACACACACACAGCTGCCTAAAAATAATATAGTTGGAGGAACTACTCCAGGCAGAGCTACCACTATAGATAGCTACGTTATAATGTAAACGAAGGGAGGTAGACAGGGAGGAATGAGGTTAAGTCTGTTAAAATTTCTCTCTGGGCTCCATTGTTTCTGTGTGGTCCATCAATATTTTGTTTAGCAAACATTTCTTTTCATATTCCGGAGAGTTACACCCCTTTTTCCTTGTCTCAGGCCCCTACCCGCTTCTCCTCAGTTCAGGATGACACACAGACCTCATTCTCCCTGACTGTCCTGCCCCTGCCCACAGCTTCCCCCTATGTAGGTAATTAAACTTTGGCTTTTTCTCCAGGTAATCTGTCTCCTGTCAATTTGATTCTTAGACCAGCTAAGGAGGACCTCAAAGGGTGGAGGAAAGTTCTTCCTCCCCAACACTCCAATAAATATTAAATGAATGGGTAAGATTTTTATGATGTCCGTGAGAGAGCCAGGTAAAACTGCAAAAAGAAAGCTGGGGATGGGGGTTCCTGGCTGATGAGGCCCCTGTAGTCAGAACTGCAAGTTCTTGGCTCTCTGTTCTGTGGCATCACTCAAGCTTCTCCTTGCTCCTGGATTGGAAGCTGAAACTTCAGGCTGAGACTTGTGGGCAGGGGTTGTTTGGGTTGGGAAGGAGCTGGCCTCTGGGCAAGAGCTGTCTGCCCGCGGGCCTGTCCAGCCTCTGTCCACCCCACTGTTATAATCCACGTACTAGGGATTCTGGTCTGGCCTCATTGAGTAACAGAGGAGGGCACTTCCTCCCAGAAACTGGGCTGGGAGTATTGCCAGGTTAGGGACACAGGGGCCTCAGGCACTGTGGAATAGGGTGGCCCAGTGATCTCTGTCCCTGTCCTCAGGAGTCACCCTGACTTTATTATGTTACACAGTAAAAGGGATTTTCAGTGCAGGAAGAGCTACACTGTGGAGAAGGGGTGGGGCCTGGGAGGTCAGGTGACCTGGCTGACAGCGTGTGTCCTGTGCAGGCCCCAGGGCCCTGGGCTTCCAAAAGCATTTTCTACATCTAAGGGGAGCCGCTGGGCTGAGTAATCTAACCCTACCTATTGTGATCTGGATTCTTTTGAGCCCAAGAGAGGCCAGTTTTAAACCCGGCTCCCCTAGGTTATGCTGGTAGGGTGGGTGTAGGTGACACCTTGTTTCTGACAACAGAAAGAAGCCAAAGAAATCATTTGTGCCCTAAGCGCTGTGTGGGTGGGCCTGTGCTTCCTGCAGGGCTTGGCCGCACACCTTCTGGCCTCAGGGAGGAAGGGTCACACCTATGTAGGAAAGATTTCAGGTGAGCAACAGGTGTGGCTGTTGATTTTCCCAAGGGCTTGTTTCTGCTTCTGGGTGCAAACCCTTCCCAGGCCAGAGAGGAGGGTGCGGTCACCATGCAGACTTCTGAATCTCTGCGCCTGGGGACCTTCCAGTCAACCAGCTCAGGTCATAAAGTTTGTGCACTGGGCGTCTGAGCCTGGCAGGGGGGTAACAGCTACGGCCCCTCTGACTGTCGTGCGGGCTGCAGGAGGGGGGGGTGCCCTTCATGCAGCCTTCAGATGTTCTCGTGGCTCCATAGCCACACTTCTGCCTCCTCCCTCCCCTCTTCTTCAGAAAGATGTGCAGCAGAGGGCTTGGTACCTGAGAAGCAAAAGAAAGAGAAAGAATAGTGTGGGCTGGGCAGAAGGAGAGGGAAAGAAAAGTGGAAGTTTGAAGGACAAAGTGGATGGAGTCCCAGGAGAATGGGGAGCCCCAGAGGGGTTAAGCTAAGAGGAGAGGAGAAAATGCAAACAGAAACAGGCCTTGGAAGACAAAACTCTCCTTTGGCAGGGCTGCGTGGGGCCAAATCAGATGTGGCGAAGATTCAGCCTTAATCACAGTCTCTATTGTAGACAGTAGGTGCTTAACATCAGTCACAGGCCTGTCGCCTCTCCAGGATTCCTGAAGCGGGACTCGGGCCTCTCTAGACTCATCCCGGAGTCCTCTTTCCCAATACTGTCACTGCACACAGCCCTCCAGGGGCTTCCCATGGCCCAAGATGCCCTCCTGCCTCGTCACCACAGCCAGCCCTTTGCGTCTTCACTCCCAGTCTCTCCGCCCCATCTCTCCCTACACCCCCCACCCAGCCATGCTCTCTGGTTTATCATGGGAGTCCCAGCACCTACTCAGTGCCTGGCAAATAGGCACTATTACCCATGCCCTTGATGGATGCACACTGGGTGCGTGAATGATAACAATCTGGCTGATGGGATACTTGCCTTTCAGCTTTGAGATTCTGAGTAGGGCGGACATCACATCCATGGGCACCAGTCAGCACCCTTGCTGAGCTGATCCTGTCCGACCGGCTGTGTGAGTGGCATCTGGGCCCCATGGAGAGGGCTGCCTGAGCCCTTGTTTCCTGCAGGGCCCCCCACCCTGCCTGTTGCTGCCTTCCGTGGGCTCCAGGGGGAAAGGCAGGCTTCAAGGCTTGGCAGAGGGCCTCACGTGGGGTTCTGAATTAAGTTGTTTGATTACTGAGAGAGGGGCCTCCTCCGAGTCCTCCATTTCCTGAAACTTGCCGACCAGAGGGGAGACCACGGTGGACTCTCACATAGGCTGAGACGCCAGCTTCTGGGCCGATGGAGAAAGGAATGCACAAAGGGTCCTTCTGCTCCGCGGGGCCCCAGGGAGAGACCTGCAGCTATGAAAACATTTTTAGTGGTTTTTGCTGCCGGCACCTACATTCCTGAGTAGCTTAGGGGAGCAGGCCCCCGGTTGTGGGAGAGGAGGCTCCCCCCTCGCCTTGCTTCATAGAACAGGCAGTGAAAGGAGCTAGGAACTTTTTCCAGAAAGGCTGGGAGCATGTTAAGGGCAGACCCTCAGGGCAGCTGGGAGCCAACCCACAGGCCAGAGGCAGGGATGAGGGATGAGGCTGCGAGGCCAGGCTGAGACCGGCTTCAGGAGGCTGCGCGGACCTCCTCCTCTTCCCCCTGCCTTCCCAGCGGCAGGCTGTCTGTGGGAGACAAATCAGGAGCTGCCTTTCCAGGCTGGGCACCATCTGGGTGGCCAGGAGGTGGGCCAGGGAACTTCCAAGGCCTGAAGTCACTGTGCCTGGACCTGCCCTGCCCTGAGTGGGCTGGGAGAGAGGGGCGAGGCCAGAGGGTACGGAGGCAGGAGAACTCAGAGCAGAGCACGAAGGAACAGGGTGTTCGGAGGCAAGTCGGGCAGTTAGCAGGCGAGCTCCCTGGTAGCGGGGGCCAGCTTTATTTCTCTTGGGTGCAGTGTTCTGTGCAGTGTTGAGCTTCTCCTTAGGGAGGTGCAGTCTCCATAGGCTCTGAGAGAAAGGATCTTGCAGTGGGTGGGGAGTTGGGTGCATTTCCTCACCATTCCTAGCTCTCCCTTGTATTTGGTAAGAACTGGAGCCAGGCCTGTCATTCACCCCTCCACAGTGGGCTGGAACCAAGTGGGGCAGCCTTTTGGTCAGAAGACAAAGTCTCTTTAGTTCCAAAGGATGCCACTCCGAGTGCCAGATGCAAAGCCTCAGGCCCTGTGGAAGGCAGAATCCTAAGGTACCCCCACCATCTCCATCTCTGGGTATTGCTCGGGTGATTATATTACATTATATAGCAGAAGGGGTTGGCAGTGGAATTAAGGCTACTAATTGGTTGATCTTCAAATAGGGCAGTTATCTGGGTGGGCCTGACCTAATCTCATGAACCCCTTAAAAGCAGAGTTTCTCTGGTGGCAGCAGGGAAGTCAGATTCCAAACACAAGGAGGATACACTGTCACTAGTTTTGAAGATGGGCAGCTGCATGGAAAGGACTAGAAAGTAGCCTCTGGGGACTGACAAAGACCTCCAGCCACCAGCTAGCAAGAAAATAGGGACCTCAGTCCATCAATCTGAGGGAACTGGTTCTGCTGACATCCTTAATGAACTTGGGAACCAATACTGCCCCAGAGCCTCCAATAAAAGCTCACCCTATCCAACACCTTGATATGGGCCTTGAGTCCCCCAGGCAGAGACCCAGTTGAGCCCACTCCAGACTTCTGAGGTGTGAGAAGTAAACTCACAAACTGTGTGCTAACAAACAGGGGTCAAAGCCTCTAAGGTTTTGGTGATTCATTACTCAGCGATAGAGAATGAATAGAGAGGTCTTGCACAGTGAGGGCTCCAGGTTTGGCATGTTGACCCCAGGTGAGAAGGAAAAGGCAGCATTCAGATTTCACCCGAAACCTTGGGGCTGCGCCCTCATCTGCATTCTGAGGCACTGTACCCCTGCCCTCACACTCAGGCATTCAAATCTTAGAGGCCCCAGCTCCAATCCCTGGGCTGGGAACTTTGGACACAAATTATTTATAGATTGACCAATCACAGGTGAATAGCATAGCCTCAGACCTAATTATCCAGGTTTCTTAAAAGTTTGCTTCTATTCTAATTTTCCTCTCTATTTCTGCCCAGTTCAGATGCTATGGGATCTTCCAGTCCTTGGCAAAATCCCTTCTACCAAGGTATCTAAAAGCAGAGCTCCCTAGTTTAAGACCCAGACTATTCTACTACATAGTCCTTTGGAACTTAGAATGAATTGCTCTCTCTCTTGGTCCCATGACCGAACTGCCTTGACTTCATCCTGTGGCAAAGATGGTTGGCTGTCCACCAAAATCCTTGCAGTCCTTCATAGTACAGACTGGTCAAGGAAGAACAGAAACTACACTTCCCAGATGCCTTGCAATAGATGTTGTCATGTGACTGGTTCCCACAAATAGAATGTGAGCAGCAGCAATGTGTACTACTTCTGAGCAGGTGCACCATCCTTTCCTCTTCTGCCACCTGGATATTGGTGACAATGAGACCCTGGGGAATGGCAGAGCCCTGAGATGGAAAGTTCCCAGTCCCTGAATCACCACGTGGAAGAAAGTCACTGGCCGATCAAGAACCCTTTCCTTGGTGTGCTTTATGGATAAGAAATAAATTTCTAAGGTATTTGAACCACTGTGCATTTGGGGCATCTATCTGTTACTGCTTTTTGCCTACCCTGGATAACACACCTCCCTCTACTTGACTCTTAACCTGAATCAAGTTGCACAAGGTGCTGACTAAACTCCTGGGCTGAAAGCCTCCAAAAATCCCTCTGTTTCACTTTCCTCGGCTGGCTCCCATCCCTGTCTTGGTTCACACTGTCTGCTTGCTCCTAGGTCTGGCTGACTCAGCTGGCCTGGGCCATGATCCATCTGCTGTCAGTGAGGGCCTGGCTCATAGAAAAATGCACATTTATTCCCCCAAAACATAGGGTTCTTTTTTTCAGCAAAGGTGGTGCAGCAATATATTTGGAGAAGCAAGTTGCTGTTCAGCCTATGGCCCCTGTTTACTTTGGGAGGCAGCCAGGGAACACAGGCCTTCAGCCCCAACTCTAAGCGGTTGGGAAGGAGGTGGAGCACGGGGTGGTCGGAGAGGGGGAGGAAACCAGAAGGAGGTGACAATTCCCTCTGAAAGCAATTAAGAGTTTCTTGGTGGCCTCAGGGACAACCTCAACTTTTATACTTTTCCCCCAGGGAGGCTGAAGTATGGGGGAGGGGAGCATCTCAGGCTGTGGTTCTCGAAAACTCTGCTTTGCGATGTGGCATTGAGAAGGCTCTGGAAGCCCATGTAGGACAGCAGCCCGGCTGCCTGGAGTGCCTCCGCCAGCATCGCCAGCAGTCTGCATTCCTGGCTGGTGTGAAGAGCAACAACAGGGGGCCTGTAGTGGGGCCCAAGCTACCAGGGAGCCCCCCCACCCCATGGTACATTGCTGAAGAGCAGCTCTGGACAGCCAGCCACGGCAGAGAGGACAGGCTGGACTGTGGACAGTGGTGCAGCCTAGAACAGGCCCCAGGCTCTGCTGTAGCTCACAGATGCCACAGCCCAGCTCCCCCATGGGGTCAGATGCCCTGGAGGTTGTGAAATTACACAGCAAGCCTGTGCTTCAGATGACTCTGCTTCAGCAATTTCCAGTGCAAATTTGCTTTTTGTTTCAGTCTGGAAATAACAGCAGCAGACTCCGGGAGTCTAGCCACCAACTCCTCCTGGCATCTCCTGTCTATGAGCAAGACACAGCCAGATGCACAGGGTGGCACTGAGGTTAGACAGCAGCATCCTGAGCTGGCCCACACATGCTATCCAAGAGCCCACTCAGGAGTCAGTGAGTCACTGTGTCTCTCCATCCCTCTCACTGGACAGAATCTTCCACCTGCAGCTAAGGGGGAGTCTTGACTTCCAACTCCAGGCAGCCCTTAGCACTAACCCTGAAGTGACAATGAGCTGCACAGCTAGGGGTAGGCCTATTTCATGCAAAATGCATTTAGCGATTTCCAGTGAAAACTTCTTCTCAGCCTCCCAATCCCTTCCCTGTGGCTTACCACCCTCCGCCCGGTTCCTCTCATTCTGCTACTTATAGCTCAGGACTTTGCTCATTAGTTCCTTCCAAATGTCCCCTCTCCGAACCTAGCTGAGTCCTTTCCATGCCTAGTTTGCAGATATGTCTGACCTGATTCCTGCCTGCAAGCCTCCATCTCTCCCAGGGGGACCAGGGAGCCCGGGATTTGACAGGTGCAGATCACCAGGGCACATGGGTGCTGAGCACCCACAGGAAATACCGAGACCAAGGTCTTCCCAGGACTGGCAGCTCAGATGGCTCCCGGGGCAGCAATAACCTGAGCCTGCTGCCCTTTCCTTCTTGAGAGTGACTCAGCAAGAAGCTGGAAGAGAAACACACATCTAGTCCTGGATCTTGCAGAGAGGGTAGCGGGCAAAACCATGGAGAGGAACAGTCCAGCCACAGGGCTGGGAGCTGAAAAGAGGCTCAACCTCACTGAGAATAAGAGAAGCCAAGTGAAAGTGACACCCAGGCCCCATTTTCCACTGAGCAGATTGGCAAAGATCAGAGGTTTGACAGCCCATTGAGTTGGCAGCGCGGGGAAAGTCACTCTCATGCTTTACCCATTCAACCTCCATGGAGGGCAATTTGGCAAAATCTACCAAATGCACAAATTCTGTGACCCAGCAACTCCACATCTAGAAATGTAACACCCAGCCATGCATGCACATTTTGTGACATGACCTAGATGGCATTGTTTGTAAGAATGGCAAGGGATTGGAGGTACCCTCCATAGGGGACTGATTGATCCCACACTTACGATATGCCCAGGTGATGAAATACAGCGGCTTCAGAATGAAGAATTAGACCACTGATGTGTGGCTATGGAAACATGTCAACATGTCCCAGGTACATTGTAAGGAGGACAGACAAAAACGAAGCAGAGCAAGAGCAGAACAGGCTGGGGGTGGATTGGTTTCAATTCTCCATGAATGAATCAACGGGCATGCTACCATCTGAATAAAAAAAGGGTGAAAGAAAAACAGTACATATGCTTCTCTGGTTGTGTGTGCTAAAGAATATCTCTGGATGGATCCCCAAGAAACAGCTTTCATCGGTTATATGGGAGCAAGCATTTCATTATATTCTTTTTGGTAACTAAGTTTTTGAACTGTGTGAATATATTACCTATTGGAAAAGAAAATGCAATTTAAGATATGTGGGCCCCACCTCTGTAACAGAATGGAATGACCCCAGAACTTGAGGGCTCCACAAATTCCAGGACAGGATGAGGTGCAGAAGGGAGAGATCATTCCGTCTTACATTCACAGGCTGTGTGACATTTACAAAGCACTTCATTTGTGCTGCCATTCAATCCTCTGGACAGTTCCTTTCTTTCAGATGAAGAAATGGAGGCTCAGAGAAGTGAAGTGATCTCTCAGAAGTCACACAGCCGTCACACTCCCCATCACAGGCCTTTTTCTACCTCGCCCTGTGGCCAGAGTCCTGGGGCCTGGGGTCACTGCTGTCCCCATTTCTACTTGGAACGTGACTCAGCTGCTGTTCCTACTGGTCAGGCACAGCTGTGAGGTCAAAGGACGGTGTCAAGTTGTAGGTCAGCTGCATCCTGCCTGGGTGACCTGGGAGAAGGTGCTCACTAGGCCCACTCTTGGTTATGTCATCAGTAAGGCAGGAACAGTAACGCTACCTAGTCACTTAGAGCATTATTGTGAGGGAGGATTGGATGAGCTAAGCACCAAGAAAATAGCGGCTGAGAAGTACAAACGGGCCAGGCTTCCAGGAGCCCAGAATTCCCTCTGGTAGTGCCCCGCTGGGGGACGCCTACTTAGGAATCTTGCACGAATCAGAGAGCTTCCCTCCCTCCCGCAGGAGCTCTGCCCTGGCGACCTGCGGGGCCTCCCTGCTGACACTCTACCCCTTCCCTTCTCTCACTGCCCCTCCTCATCCCTCCTGACCCCACTCTGCCTCCGGGCAGCCGGGCAGCCTGGACAGAACACACCTGGGTTCCACATAGAGACCAGGGCAGCCACGGGCACAGAGCCAGAAGGTCGTGGCCCCTGCCCCTTCTCACTGCTGCCCCCCACTCCACTTAAATACCCCAAGATTGGGTTTTTTGGAGATTACAATCAAACCAGAGAAAGGCAAATAGGAGGGGAAAGGCAACTAAATGACAGTTTTTCCTCTTTCTCCACTAAATAGCCTTGAACATTAAGCTTTAGCTAGATATCCTCTTTTTTTTTTTTAATAAGCAGATAAAGTTTATTTCTCCCTCTACAGTGGTCTGGAGGTGAGAGGTCTTGTCTGTCAGGGTAGCTCTGCTCCCCGGGGAACCAGGTACAGCCCATCTTGGCACACTGCTTCTCACAGGGGTCCTCATCTGCGGGGTTGAAGCCGGTTTACCGCCAGGCTACCTCTGTGCCTTTATACGAATCTTAGTTTGACAGTCTAAAGTGCCTTTTTGCAAATGTTAAGGAGAGTCTACTTTAGGCAAGTGCGTGTCTCGGTCAAATGGAAGGTAGCTTTGCACAAAAAACAGGGTACCCCCTCTAGACAGACAAATTCGAAAAAGATACACTATTACAGATGCACAGCTCCGTGGGAGCGCGGCCAGGGAACATGTATTTTGTGTAAGGAGAAAGGTGTCCTTTCCTCTGAGTGGACAGAACCCACAGCTTGGTGGGTGGAGCGAGAATTCACCACAGTGCCTGGATTCCAGCATTTCTGGAGGACGGTAAGTCCGAGAGCAGGGTACCAGCGTGGTCAAGTTCTAGTTCACACCTTCCTCCCTGTTCACAGCAGGTGCCTTCCGGCTGTGTCCTCACAGGGTAGAAGGGGTATCATCCTTTAAAGAAAGAAACTATGACAAGAAGAAGCCCCTTCCCTCTTAATTCAGTCTCCCCTTCCTTGTTCTTAATTTATTTTTTGAATTAACATACAGTAAAACAGACTTATCTTTTTTGGTTTTCTGGCGTTGGTGTAACTGCCACTGTGACCAGCAGGACATAGGACAGTTCCACTGCCTCCAAACCCTGCTCCAAGCTTCCCCTTTGGGAAGCCACACCCTTTCCCCGCCCCTGGCCCCTGGCCTGCAACCATGGACGGGGTCACTGGCACTGTCATTTGTCTCTTTGAGGATGTCATAGAAATGGAATTATACAGTACGTAACCATTAGATTTGTTTCACTCGGTATCATGCCTTTGAGATTCTTCTCAGGTGTTGCATGTATCAGAGGTCATTCCATTGTATGGGTGTACCATCATTCATTTATTCATTCCTTTGTTGAAGGACGTTTGGGTTGTTTCTGGTTTCTGGTGACTATGAACAGAGCTGCTATACACATTTGTGCACAGGTTTTTGTGTGAATAGAAGTTTCCGTTTCTCTGGGATACTGGTTCTCAACTGGAGGCAATTTTGCCCCCCAACCCCCACCCCCGGGACCATTTGGCAATTTCTGGAGACATTTTTGATTGTCACTAGAGGGAGGGAGGGCTACAAGCATCGAATGGGTACAGGTCAGGGATGGTGCTAACCATCTTAGAATGCATAGGACAGGCCCATAATAAACAATGACCTGGCCCCAAATGTCAATAGAGCTGTGGTTGAAAAATCCTGCCCTAGGGTAAATAGATAGATAAAAGATTTTGGGGGTCATATGGTACCTGTATATTCAACTTCATAAGAAATTGCCAGACTGTTTTTTCAGAGTGACTTGACCATTTTGCATTCCCCCAAACAATTTATGTGTTCTGGGTGCTTCACATCTTTTCCAGTGCCTGATGTCAGTCTTTTAAATTTTAGCCATTGTAACAGGTGTGAAGAGGTATCTCATTATGCTTTTAATTTGTGTTTCCTTAGTGGCTAATAATGTGGAACATCTTTGCACGTGCTTATTTGCCATCTGTATATCCTCTTTGGTGAAGTGTCTGGTTAAACTTTTTGCCCATTTTTTAATTGGGCTTTTTGTACCCCTAATGTTGAATTTTAAGAGTTCTTTATATATTGTGGATATGTTTTATTGTCAAATATGTGATTTGTATCTTCTCCAAAGTATACCTTGTCTTTCCATTCTTTTAATGGTATCTTTCACAGAGCAAAAGTTTTTAGTATTAATAAATCCAATTTGTCTTTTTTTTTTAATGTACTCTACTTTTGGTGTCATGTCTAAGAACTCTTTCCCTAACTCCAGATCATGAAGATATTTTCTTCTAAAAGTCTTAGTTTTAGTTTTTTATTTTTTGCATAGGGATGTCCAATTATTCCAGCACCATGTGTTGAAAAGACCATCTTCTATTATATGACTTTTGCCTCTTTGTCAAAACTCAATTGGGCCTATTTCCTGGGTTTTCTGCTCAGTCTTATTGATCACTGATGCCTACCCATCGCCATACCATGTCTTGATTACTGAGCTTAATAAGAAGTCTTAAAGTTGGGTAGCATGACTTTACGTCTTACCATTTCATTCTTCTTTGTCAAAATTATTCTGGCTACTCCAATTTCTTTGCCTTTCCATATAAATTTTAGAAATGTCCTGTCTGTATACAACCTTTACTTGTTTTGTACAAGTCTGGAGTGTTTTCCAACACCACCGGGAAATTCTCCAGCTCGCAGAGGACACCAACTGGGTGTCCTCCAAATTTAACTCAGTTCTGATACTATCAACCTGAAGACAGCAGGTTAAGCATTCAGTCCCACAAGACTGCCCCCATCCCTGCCACTTCAGACACCAACTGCGAGCCCAAGGTGCTACGTGAGCTTCTGACTAAAGGGCTGTAAATCAAAGGTTCTCATGACCCACTCCCCGGATTCAATTAATTGGCTGAAGCAGCTTACAGAACTCAGGGAAACAGGTTACTTAACTAGAATACTGGTTTATTATAAAGGATATGAAAGATCAGCCAGGTGGAAAGGTATGAAGTCCAATAGGGTCCCAAACTCAGTAGATTCTGTCCCTGCATATCAAGGCACCAATCTAGAAGTACATCAAATCCTGTTGTTCAAGAGTTTTCATAAAGCTTATCTCCAGGGCTGCCCCAGTGAATGGATGGGGCTGAAGGCGCCCACCTTCTATTCAGTTGGTCTTCCTGGTGACCAGTCCTATCCAGAAACTATGTGCAGTCCCCATCCTAAACCATCTCATTAGCATAAACTCAGATGTAATCCAAAGGGCTTATTATGAATAACAAGAGGCACTCCTATACTTAGGAAATTATAAGTATTTTAGGAGCTCAGTGCCAGGACAGAGGACAAAGGACAAACACATTTCTTTATTATCCCCAACATATAGGCTTACAACACCCCAACTTGCTTTCTTCTAGGCAGGACTCTGACATTCAGATCAGATTTTGAATATGTTCTAAGGATGGGAGAAATGCTGATTTTATAGAAAACTCAAAAACAGCCATTCACCTGCTTCCTGGGAGAACAGATTGTATTTCGCCTGAGGAATGTGCAGAATGCAAATTTGCTTTCCTTTACTTGCTATGGAGTTGGGAAGTGTTCATAAAAAGATTCACAGACTCATGATGCCCTCCACAAGCTCATAAGCCAAGCTGTACTCACTCTTTGACAGCCAAATGGTCACAATACTTCTAAGCCTGCAAGATAATTCTTACCCATTTGAAACATGGTTTTCATCAGGTCAAATAACTTGCCGGGAACTGTGCACAGAATTTCTTCTAGAGGTGGAGTGGGAATTCATGTTGTCTAGTTCCGTGGTCGCTGAGTCTGAATACACCGCCCTCCAATTCTGCGGTTTCTAGAACAGACGAGGCTGAGAAACACCAGAACTAAGAGCAGTGTAAAGCTGAGAGTGGGCTCCGCTGATCCGGCCAGCACCCGGGGTGGGGGCACCCTCTCCCCATGGCCTTCTGCCTGGGACTGGAGACTTTGCTGACCTTCTGCTTACAGGTTCTCAATTCTTGCTGCCGGATCTGGGCTCGCTTTGCTCTCCTGTAAACTGGCAGTTTTGCTCTCTGTCCTGTACCTCTCACGGAATTGTAAGACTCAAATGATCAAGCACAGAAAACGCCCAGAAAGCTACAGCACAAACTGGCTTCTCTGGGGCATGGAATGGGGTAAGTGGAGATGGGGGTCATGGGGACCCCTTTCAGCTTCAAACTCTAATCTGGACTCAAAATTTTTAACAAGTATGAGTTTCTTTTGTGATTTAAAAATAAAACTGTAAATGTTTGCAGTAACGACGTTAACATAACGATGTGCTTTGCTGCCTTCAAAAAGTTTCCAGCCCTGCTAAGCTACACTAGCTACTCTTCTACCTTCCAGTGTGTGGGTCCCAGGGCCCAGCGGGGGACGTGCAGTCTGAGGGTGCCATGAGATCAGCAGGGTGAGGACCCGGGTTCCGGGGGAGGTGGGAGAAAGAGAAGGTGTGGCTCCATGTAGGCCATGAGTAGGGCTCCTCCCTCTTCCCTCCAAAGCCCCAGGTATGGGGCATATGTTTCTCCCTGGCTGTCTGGCCAGATCAAGCTGCAGGCAGGAGCCGCAGTACCAGAGGGAGGGACACTGCAGAACAGAGTGGAGTCAGCACAGAACACATTAAAAAAATCAATCACTGAGGCAGCAGCCCACCAAGTAAGGAGGCTGGGCGCTGAGGCCATCCTCCCAAGGAGCCAGCTTGCCGCTGGGGATTCTGGGCCTCCTGATGGCTCAGCAGGCACCGATGCCAGCCTGGGCCAATTGTGTTCAACCCCCAAGGGCACAGCCGCGGGCTGGCACACCTTCACTGGGCAGCGAGGAGGAATGGGCCGTGTGCATTTGTGCTTGTTTATTTGCTGTTCGAAGCTCCTCGCACACGGGTGTGGGTGCTGATTTCCTCTGTGTGGCTGGAGTCTGCCCAGGATGAAGCCTCCCCTATTCCCGGCCCCTCCCGGGCCTGGGAAAGCAGTAAGGGGCACAGTCCATGGAGAAGCTAGGTTACCCCAGGAGCAACAAGAGGAACCGTATAAGGAGACTGCTGTTGTTCCTAATAAGGACAGAACCCAGTGACTGTCACTCTGCCAGTGACAGGAGGGCAGGTCCCCAGGACATCTCCTTGGAGCAGGGAGGGAGGCAGGGATGGCAGGTGGCCCAGGCCCCTCCAGCTAACCATATAAATCAGGTCGCTTTCACAGCTAAGTTCAAGTTACAGTGCCTCTCAGACCCTCCAGCACTCACTTCCTGTCCCCAGCTCCCCATGTCCCTCTCCCTTCTTCCTCTGCCCCTGAGGGGTGGATCTTCCTCCGGTGTGGGAAGGAAGCTCTGTCCTGTCTTTCTGCTTGGTTCTCTGCTGCGGGCTGCAGCTGCTCAGTGGCCAATGATAGACTCAGGGCAGGGCTGAAAAACACCAGACCCCAACCCGCTCTCATCCTGAACAAGTCTAAGAAATCCCGTCTAACAGACTGTCTCTTGCTCAAAACAGAAATCCTTTCCCTCTTCCATCAGTCCAGTAGAAATCATTTCATGCAGACAGCCGCCTGAGGCCCTCCTCCCTAATTCAGGCATCTGCAGTTCTCTGTAAAGGGCCAGATAGAAAGGCTTTGACTTCATGGCTGCAAGTGTCATCATCTCCACCACAACTACTCAACTCTGTCATTGTAGCAGGAAAGCAGACCAATACCATGTCAACAGATGGGCGCGGCTGTGTTCCAATAGAACTTTATCTATTAAAACAGGCATTAGGCTGGATTTGGAATGATGTGCTGACCCCTGCTCTAAGTCACCAGACCCTTGCTAGAGTAGGTCTGAGCAGCCTTTAGGACCAGCCATCCTCTAAACTCCAGACAAGCAGTTCCCTGAGAATGCCTATCCCAGGATTCCCCCAGAGCCTGGCTGGCTCCAACTGCAAAGATGAAGAGCGTTTGTATGGGGGGAAGAGGGAGCAGTTTGCTGAGCTGACTTTGAACCCACTTCACCTTTGCCCAATTTAATTAAGCTTGAACAGAGACCTTTCCAGTGAACACATTTGTGGCTCCATAAATCACCAAGGTAGGCCACTTACAGAGGTGAACCAGGAATGATCCATCTCTGGTGGTGAGTCTGGAGAACAGGCTGGAAGCCTGGGGAGGGGCCCTGGGTCCCCCATCAGGGCCCAGGAGCAGAGATATTTTCTTATTCACATTGCCTTGGGCTTAGGATCAGGCTGCAGTGGGAAAATGGGGTCCAAGTCTCAGAGCTGCTGTCACTTACAACTGAATGACCTTGGGCAAGCTACTTAATCTCTCTAAGCTTTAGTTTCCTTGTTTTATAAAATGGAGATAAAAATAGTACTTGGTTCCTGGAGGCCTGAGGTTTTAGCTCAGATAACCCAGCAAAGCATTTAACACAACACCTAACACACATGGGCAGGGACAGGCCTGCGAGCTTTCCGGCCAGGCGCCTTCCATGGGTCAGATCCATGCTGGGAACTGCCAGGGTAAATCTTATTTAATAACCGCAACAATCCCCTTGAGGTGGCTCTCATTATCCCATGTTACAGGTGAGGAAACCGAGGCTCAGGGAAGCAGTAACTTACCCCAGGACGCACAGGGTTAGCTTATAGAAAAGGGAACTGTGAAAGCAAATAGAAAGCAGAAATGGGTGGGAGTGGGCCAGGAAGCTTGGGAACCTCTGCAGACAGCCGGGCGGAGAGGTGGCCCCTTGAAACAGCCCCATTTTCACTTTCCAGAGAGGAAGAGAGCAGGTGCGTCTGCACTGCCAGGAGCTCAGTAGGGGCCTGTCCTCCGTACACCTGCCAGTCTTTCCTGGAAAAGCTGATTCCTGGGGAGTTGTTGGGTAGACGTCCCATGCCCTCCTTGTACTCGGTTAAATTGTGTCTCTCAAAAATGTATGTCCACTCAGAACCTCAGAATGTGACCTTACTTGGAAACAGGGTCTTTACAGATATAATTAAGGTCAGGATTGAAATCACACTAGATAAAGATGGGGCCTAAGTCAAATGAGCATGACCCTGTAAGGACCAGAAAAGGGTACCGGGCAGCTTAGACCAGAGCCATGTGAAGGTGGGGGCAGAGACTGGAGCAATGAGCCTGCAAGCCCAGGATAGCCGGGAGCCCCCAGAAGCTGGCAGCAAGGTGCGGAACGGATCCCCCTCAGGGCCCAGAAGGACCAAACCCTCCCAGCACCTTGATTTTGGACTTCTGGCCTCCAAAAACTGTGAGAGTTCATTTCTGTTCTTTGAAGCCACCCAGTTTGTGGTAATTTGTTAGGTGGCCACAGGAAACTCATCCACCACGTGTGGACTTCTGAGGGTGGTCCCCAGTGTCCCCGGTGTCCCTGGTGCCTGGCACACTCTGAGGGCCCAAGGACCCCAATATGATGAGAGAATGGGCAGGGAAAGAATGCAGGAAGGGAAAAACCAGCCGGTGGGCAAGGGGGCTCTGGAAAGCTAGACTGCAATGCAAGTGTAAGGGAAGCCAGGAACAGGGGCGGAGTCTGGCAGTAAGGAGCAGAGGTGAGGCTGGCCAAGCAAGGCTCCGTCTCCCCTACACCTGCACAGTGGAAATAAACGTGGCTGGTGACGAATTCTTTACTAAAGAGAAAGCCAGTTTAAAGAAGGACTGTTTGGTGGCTTCCCTCTCCCACTTAAGCTGCCTTCCCTACCCCCATGTCGGGGCTGGGTCTGCACAGCTCTCCAGCAGACAAGTAGAAACCAGTCCCGGGAAGTCATCACTGCTTGGTCAGAGTTGGGTCAGGATGTGGGAGTGAGGCCAGGCTGGGTGGAGAGGCTCTGACCCTGGGGCCTCAGGGCCTTGACCTGCCCACGTTTCGGTTGCCCAGGGCAAGTCAGCAGCACCTGGTGATGGGGGGGCGGGGTGGGGGGTGCCGAGGCTGCCCAGGGGCCTTTCTGTTGAGGGGTTTCCTCCTGTCCCCACACTCCAGCTGAAGCCACACCCACATGTTGTCAAAGGAAGAGCCCTTCTAAGCTGGGCTGCTCAGGGGCCCGAGGAGTGGCGGCCGCCCCTTGTTTGGGTGGTAGCTCACCTCCAAACACAGCAGTGGCCATCCCTGCACAGATACACCACCACCGCACAGAGTGAGTCCCTTCCCCGACCCTTGTGTCCAGGCTGCCCTGTGGCCGCTTTGACCAACAAAATTCAGCAGAAGAGACGCTGGGCCAGATCCTCACCAGCCCTCGAGAGGACTGGTCGTTGCCACCTGCTCTGGGAGTCCTGAGCTGCCACTGACGAAGCCAGGGCCACACCGCTGGAGAGAGACCGTGTGCAGGAGCCCCGAGCTGCCATCTCGGGCAGCTGGGCCTTCGGTGATCACAGCCCAGCTGCTCTCTGACTGCTCCAACAGAGAGACGGTGCCCCGACACCAAGGAAGAGCCGGCCAGGCCAGTTGAGCCCCGCCAACCCACACAACCACTAGACATAAGAACAGTTATTTGTTTTAAGCCACTAAATTTTAAGGTAGCCTGTTGAGAGGAATACCAGGAAAGATTCATTCCCTATCCCTTTCCCAAGGTCTTCACTGGCTACTTTGGGGCAGCAAGGACCCTAGGCTCCAGAGTCCACAGCCCATCACTGAGGATTTGACCCAATGTCCTGCCTGGTAACTGGCCGTGATTACGGCAAAGTTGTTGGGTGGCGCTGCTCCTTCTGGGGTTGGTGGGAAACCTCTAAATTAAAATCAATAAATATTTGCAAAGCAGCTGGGCCATTCACGGCACTCCGAGAAACTAAAAGCGACATGCGATGCCTTTTATTTGAAAAGCATTAAATAGCTTAGCAAGCACTCTCATATACTGAGCCACGTGTCACCCGTGACAGCCAT